TTCCTCTTCTCCCCCAGCCAGTCCCAGTGGGTTCACCTTTACAGGCTCTGGGACTAGGACAGAGGGTAAGACGTGTGAAAGTTTCTTCATTGGGACATCTCCAGATTACTTATAATATCTAAATCAATGTAAATGCTATGTAAATCATTATTTTATTGTATGGAGTTATTTGTATCATTTTTATTTTTCTGTTGTTATTTTTCAAGAAAACTTCTCAGCAGAGCACTTAGTCAAAGCATGTAGTGCCATGATTACAGCAAACCCCATAGGTTATTGTTCAATGAATTGAGAAAACAGAGTTCAATACATAGATTCTAGTTAGAGTTTAACCTCAGATTCCCAGGAATAGGTGCCATTTAAGAGAAAAAAATGATAGAAAATGTACACTCTGAAAGAAGTTGTTCCTTTTTATTTTAGTTATTGGCAGTCCGCTGCTTCTTTCCTTTAACCCTATCTTTGTTTTTTGCTGCTCTGGAGAAGGTAGAAGATAAATAATTTCAATTCTACTAAGCTAATTTGACTCCTACTTCAGAAGACTGAATGTAAGGTAACCTTTTAAGTATTGAGGCTGGCTAGAGCAGAATAAAGGGCCACATCAGGCAAAAACCTTCCTTATACAGAAACAAGGAAGAATTACAAATGGTCTTTTTCATTTTTTTTTCTTTGTTTACTCACAGGTAGTTTAACCCCTTGTCTCTATAAATTTCCCGACCACACCTTGAGTCATGGATTTCCTCCTATACACCAGCCTCTCCTGGCAGAGGACCCCGCAGCTGCTGATTTCAAGCAGGAACTCAGGCGGAAAAGTAAATTGGTGGAAGAGCCAATAGACATGGACTCTCCAGAGATCAGAGAACTTGAAAAGTTTGCCAATGAATTTAAAGTGAGAAGAATTAAGTTAGGTATGTGCTTGTTAAGGGCAACAGGAAAAATAACTCGGTTTGCAAATCTGTTTTACTGTTAAATCTCTTATATGTTGCTCAAAAGTCTAAGATGATTCTCATTCTTCATCTCTACTGTAGGTAGTTGTTATGGATATCCTCCAAAAACCTTTGTTTTCTTATAATTTCTTAAGAGCCTAAATACATAATTTTTAAATTCGTAATATTCTTTCAAAACTTTCCCACCTCAAGATTAGTTTTGAAGTGTCCATTTTTATCTGTATTTTATTTGAACTTTTGAGTAGACCATACATTCATATGATTCGAAAGTAAAAAGAATATAAGCAACATGGATCCCTTCTGCTTTTTTCTGTTTGTCACTGTTGTGAGTTTCTTCTATGTCTTTCCAATGATATCTCATGCCTATGCAAGCAAATATATATATTGTGTCAAACATAAGTATTATTTGAAGTTTTCAGTAGTAATTTTTCTAGAACTCCTTTTCCTTTGTAGAGATGTCAAGTTCCACTTTATGAATATACTGCAATTTATTTGACCAGTCCTCTACTGATGAAATGCAGGTGGTTTCCAATCTTTGGCTATTAAAAACAATGCCACGATGATTAACCCTATAAAGGTATTTTGCACCCATATAAATATTTGTGTAGGAAAAAGTTAGAAGCATAATTGCTTGATCAAAAGTATGTGTACTGGTAATTTTGATAGTGGTTGTCAAACTGGTCTGCAGAGACGTTGTACCAAATTTTACTACTGCCATGAGAATATTTTTCATCATCCCCTAACTATATAAACTGCAAAAAGCATGAGTTTTAAAAATCTTTGTGTTTTATCCTTAATGATATATCTCCAGCACCTAGAAGAGTATAACTAGAACATAAAATAAATAAATGGTGGTTGAAGGAAAAGATATGCTGTTATTCTTTTAGATCTTTGCAAATCAGACAGGTCAAAGTGACATCTCATGGTTATTTCATTTAAAGTTTCTTTTATTATGAGTGTAAACTGTATTACTTAATGTGTTTGACAATCATTTATATTTCCTTTTCTGTGAACTATCTGTTCAAAGCCTTTGCTCATTTTTCTATTGAGTGTTTTTAACATAAAACAACTATAACAATTAACTTTGGTAAAATTGCATAAAGTTGTGTATATTTTTAACGGATTGAAATGATAGTTCAAACCTCTGCACTTGCAAAATGAAACATTGGTAATTTAATAATAATATTTATTGATGGGCATCATATGTAACCATTTTATACATATTGGTATATAGCCTTAGGTCTTGAAATAATATGTAGCTATTACATGTAATAAACATAGTAACAGGAATATTTGTGAAATTCATTTTCAGTTTTCTATTTATATTGCTGCGAATGTTCAAACTATATGTTGATTATTTCAACTGTACTCTAAAAATGTTTGGGACAAACAATAGGATCTTTTGTCTGAAGATAGAGGCATTACCAAAAACTATAAACAGGGTCAGAGGTATACACGAAATGTGTAATCATGACCTCTTAGTAAATATGTTTTTAGGGGAAGTAGCATAAAACTTAGTTGTATTTAGTACCCTTCAATGATACCATTGAATCTTTTAGAGTTAAAATAAAAAATTTTGTGATATATAACCAAATATTTGATGCATTATAGTTAATATATTAAAGATGTTTGAGCATATATCATTTGATACTTAACAATAATGATAAAAAGAGCCATAATTTTCAAGTGTCTTATTAAGTGTTCAGGAGATACCTAAACACTGGCTAAATATGATGTATGGCAGAGGTTTCTGTCTGAATTATTTTGATGACTAGATAAAATGAATTTATTAACTAGAAGAAATATGTTCCAAAGCATTGGACAGGCACTTCAAAGTACAATGAACCTCACTAAATAATTCTACTTTGCCAAGAATATACAGTTAAAAAGCAGTATGTAATAGTTGACAGAGATACAAAGATCTGTGTGACAGCGAACCAAAATTAACGTTTCTTGGAAAGTTGGAGCTGATGGTCTTTATCGTCCCTTCACAGGATACACCCAAACAAACGTTGGGGAGGCCCTGGCAGCTGTGCACGGCTCCGAATTCAGTCAAACAACTATCTGCCGATTTGAAAATCTGCAGCTCAGCTTTAAAAATGCATGCAAACTGAAAGCAATATTATCCAAATGGCTGGAGGAAGCTGAGCAAGTGGGAGGTACTAAACCGTCTCTCTGAAGGCTGTGCTATGTTTTAACCTAGCAATAATGGCTTTGATCAGTAGGATTAATGCTGAAGCAGGAGGTTTGAGGGATTTTTTTCTCCTTTTCTCTTTGAGATTAAAAATAAACATCTTGCTACATCACACTAAAAACAGCCACCAAAAAGGAAGGCAATGTAAGTACAGAAATAAATTGATTGAGGAAAGAATAACCTGTATAGGGAAAACTTACAAGGTAAGGTGGCAGCAACATGAAGTGGTAAAATACGTTTTTACACATCCATATTTTTGTCTCTCTTTTATACTAAAGAAGCTGTATATGAATCACAAATATTAGTGTACACAAAGCATTTGCACACACCAGTCTTCCAAGTAAATAATATAAGCAATTGCTAGATATGCAACTTAATGAGAAAATTACCTACTCATACAAATGTCAGGGTTGGATAAAGAAGAGGTTTGAGAGTATTTACAGCAAGGATTCCGGCAAAAGTAAAGTGAGGATATTGTTTATAGAAGGTGTCTTTGCAAGATTAATGTTTATTTCTGTGTTAACATTTTTCTCGAAGCTCTGTAATAGAAAATGACTTAAACTGCAAAAATTAAGACAAAAATGTCTGGCATTTTTGTACTGTTTTATCAAGAAAATTTGAAATCCAAATCTGAGAGTGTTTTTGTAGAAAGTCTACTTGGAGTTTGTAATTATCTCTTTTCCACATTATAGCTTTGTACAATGAAAAAGTGGGAGCAAATGAAAGGAAAAGGAAACGAAGAACAACTATAAGGTATTCTTTATATAAAGAGTTTCTAGAGGACAAAATTGGTATTTTATAAATGCAATGAGCATTTGATTGTAATGTAGGTGTAACATAACATATTAATGTAAGGTGATTTGGGAGGCCGAGGCAGCTGGATCACCTGAGGTCAGGAGTTCGAGACCAGTCTGGCCAACATGGTAAAACTCTGTCTCTACTAAAAATACAAAAATTAGCCGGGCATGGTGGCAGATGACTCTAATCCCAGATACTCAGGCTGAGGCAGAAGAATTGCTTGAACCCAGGAGGTGAAGTTTACAGTGAGCTGAGAGCACGCCATTGCACTCCAGCCTGGGCAACAAGAGCAAGAATCCATCTAAAAACAAATAAAATTAAGTAAAATAAAAAGATAAAAAATACAAATAAATATAAGGTGAATACCGTCAAATGAAGAACCAGGATAGGTTTTGAAAATCATAATTTAATACTTTAATTGTGAAAAATAGAGAGCTAATAATTTTTAACATTTGATGGAAAATTGTGTCTTGATTGATTCAAGAACACTTTTGCTCCAGAAATTTTGAATAAAAACAGAAAGCAGACAATCATTTCTAAGAGAGTGGCCATATCTGCCGTCCTTGTAGATATAACTTATGGCTGTGGCAATGTAGTATCTATGATATCTATCTGTATTATTTTAAAATACGACACTAGTAAGTGTTTCAGCCTCTTAAAGTTCAACATGACTCTTGCATTTCAACCCAAAAAGATTGCTTGTTGATCTTTTTGTAGTTTCTGTGAGACATGCTTAGGAAATGCTAAAAGACAGGTTTTGTTTTGTTTGGTTGGTTGTTCACTGGAGATTTTCTGTATTGCGCAGAGCCCTAAATGATTTTGGGAGAGATTTAGAAATGACTGGGAAAATGTTCACTTTCTTTTCAAGAATTCAGTGCCCTCTAGTGGCACAAAGTGGAATAAACATAGAAAGCCTAGGTCCCCCTACTTCTTTCTTTCTGTGACTCTTGTGTAATTGTACCTTGCGTAAGACAACACATCTACATATTTAGCAAATTGTACATTTGTCCTTGTTAAAGTGTTTTGCAAGTGTGTTCAGAGTTTTAAAATTTCCTTTTCATCTTAATATTTAGGAAATTAAACCTAACTTAATTTTAATCTGCCAAAAACTTCACTAAAAACAACATAATTTCACCTCCTATCTCTACCCCACCCCAGTATT